AAGCATAAGACGGGACACTCTCTGAGGACAGTGCCCAGGAAGGAGTCCCCAGGAGCCCACCATGGACAGCTGGAGGCCCTCAGTGGCCTCTCGGGGGACTCGGGGGGAGGTATCTTGCTGGTCATGAAAGGCTACTCCTCCAGGCCCCCGGCATCGCGGGCCGCCCTGCTCTCTGCATCTTCGGTACAGTCCCTCGGGCTCTGAGAGGGCTGCCCCTGCTCTGTCCAGCCCCAACACTGGTCTCCCTGCGGGGTCCCTAGAAGCAGCACCTTCAAGCTCTCAGCCAATGGCCGTGATGTGTGACAGACTCACATCCACTGTCTTCCAGCTACACCTGTTAAGCAAGCACCCAGCCTCCGGCCACTGACCCCTCTAGCTCGGATGGGATACATGGAATCCAGAAGTCAGCTTCACTCTCTGAACCTCAACCCCACACTAAATTCCTCTGCAGGGCCGTCCCTGCCTTCTCCTTCCACCTGTGTCAAATCGCCTACCATTCTGGCACCCACACAGCGCCTCCACCTTGCCGGCCAGACCCATGGCCATCTCCTGGCCCAGTGCTCCTCCAGGGCCTACAACAAGCGAGCGGAGCAGTCTGCCACCCCCCTGTGCAGTGCTGCTCTTGATTGGTCAACAGCCCCACCTTGCTCTCTGCAAGCCTTGCTCAACAGCCACAAGCTCCATGGTAGGAAACACAAGTCGGCCAAATTGGCTCCCAAGCGGCTCTCCCTGGCAGGGATTGGACATTTCTAGCTGTAACTGTGATGGGGGCATGCTTACCTGTACAGCCAGGGACCAGTAATGACAAATGTCTCCTATAACAAAGACAGTCTTCAAGGGGCCAGCATTGTGGACAGCAGATTAAACCATTGCCTGCAGCGCCAGCATCCCATATGGGCGCCAGTTGAATTCCTGGCTGCTCTGCTTCCCATTCAGCTCCCTGCTACTGTGCCTGGAAAAGCAGCAGAAAATGGCCCAAGTTCTTGGGCCCCTGCACCCAGGTGGGAGACCCAGAGGAAGCTCCAGGCTCCTGGCTTTGGCCTGGCCCAGCCATGGCCATTGTGGCCATTTGGGGAGTAAATCCGTGGATTGAACACCCCCCCTCTCTAACTCTGCCTTTCAAATAAATTTTTTAAATAATAATAAGCTAAAGATAGCCCTCAAAATGCCAGTGGGGCTCCCATGAGAAGCCCTGAGAAAGGCGGCTTCCCAGAACACAAACAGGTTCATCTAAGACCACATCTCCCCACCCCCTTCACAGCTGGCCCCCAACACAGCCACCTCCCACCTGATGCCCATCCCAGGACAGCATGCAGTGCCTGCCCACCATGTCCCTGCCTCTCACCTAGCTGCCTGTACTGCTGGCCTCCCCATTCTGGAAGGCCTTCCCTCCACACCTGTCCTCAGCTAGCTAACAGCTGACATGCAGGCTCAGTTCAGCACTTGGCTCCTTCAGAAATCCCTCCTGGTGTGCCAGATCCCCCTTCTCAACTTCCCCTCCTACCTCACCCCTACCCCGGCCACAGTGGCAGTCCCATCTTTGTGCTAGTATCACTGCACTTCACCTCACTTCAAAACTACCTAGCGAGGGGCTGGTATTGTGGCATAGCGGGTTAAGCCATCATCTGCAATGCTGGCATCCTATTCGCACAGCAATTCAAGTCCTGGCTGCTCCACTTCTGATCCAGCTCCCTGCTAAAGGCCTGGGGAAAGCAGTAGAAGATGGCCCATGTGTCTGGGCTCCTGACACCCCACATAGAAAATCTGGATGAAGCTCCTGGCTTCAGCCTGGTCATTGCAGCCATCTGCGGAGTGAACCAGCAGATAGAAGCGCGCACTTGCTCACTCTCTCTCTAACTCAAAATGAACAAATAAATCTTTAAAAAAAAATCTTCCTTTCGATAGACTTGGCTCCTTGCAGGGTATTTGAGCACAAAGACTTTGTCTTGTTGATCTTTGCATCCCCAGAACTCTGCCCATACTAGGTCTGTAAATATTCACTGGTAAATTATCCTACAGACTAGGTAAGTCCTTGCTGTGTAAGCAGAACCCTGCCTTTATTTGTCCCCCAGGATCCAATTTACGTTCTTACATTAGTGGTTAGAACCCTTTGAGTCTTGGCTGGACACAAGGCCACCCAACTAGACTCCAGCCTAGGTGTGCCCAGCTCATGGTGCTCCAGACAGTGGTACAGAAGGGGGCATATTCAATTTTAAGATCACATCCTTAAAAGGAAGCTGCTCATCCTCCACACATGGAATGTAAGTCATTGTCAACCATGCAGCTGGGAACATGACACCTCATCCCTGGAAAAAGACAGGAGACTGGGCACAAAGGCAGCTACCCCGAGCCCAGTCAGCAAAAGCACCGTTTTGTGGGGAAAAGTAAATCTCTTTGCCTTGGGGTCAGTGTTGTGGCACAGTGGGTTAGGCTGCAGCCTGCAATGCCAGCATTCCATCTGAGCACTGTTCTGCTTCCAATCCAGCACCCTGCTAATGTGTCTAGAAAAGCAGCAGAAGACGGCCCAAGTACTTGGGCCCTCGCCACCCAAGTGGAAGACCCAGATGGAGTTCCAGGCTCATGGCTTGGGCCTGGCTCAGCCCCAGCTGTTAGAGCCATTTGGTGAGTGAACCAGCAAATGGAAGATCTTTCTGTCTCCTTCTCTGTCTCTTCCTCTCTGTAACTCTCACTTTCAAATAAATAAACAAACTATATTAGAAGAAGTAAGAAGAGATTTCCATTGTATTTGAAAAGAGAGCAACTCTGGGTAAGAAGAGATCATGCATTTCAGAGATTCACCAGGAAAATAGAGGCTCAGCACAAGGACAGAGTCAACTCGGGCAAAGCCACAGAGGCACAGCAAAGTGATCCCAAAACTACCTTAGAGGCTTGAAAATGACTGACATGTAAAATGCAAGGGGCGTGAGTGGAGGAAGATGAAGCTGGGATCCAGAGACCGGCAACTTCAGTCAAAAGCTCTGTGCACCTGTCTTGGCAAGACAACAAGCACTGGGGGTTCCCATTCCTCTGCTGGCTCCACACCCTCTGAGCTCTCTGCCATCTTCCCTCAACTCTGAGAGACCTTGAGAAGCTCCAACCAGCAGAGTTTCCATGCAACTGCCAAGTTCAGTTCCAATGGGAACCTCTAACCATCCTTCCCTGGTGCCTGCATCAGTTCTAAGCATCCAGGGGTGTTCGCCTGGGTCCTGTCCTTAGCAGAGCCCCAGGGCCTCCTGAAGAAGCAGGCATATCCAGTTCCTAGTGGTACTCGTCTCCCTAAGGGGAAGAAAATAAAGAACATTTTATAATTCCTACTGCTCCTTACCACATGTCTTATCCTCACTGTAAACCAAGTCCCTTGTTCCAAGGTCCCTGGAAACTACTCTTCCAAGAAGAAGGAAAGGGGACAGGTAGGTAGAGAGCCAATGATGAGGACCCGTTTTCACCAAAAGAGAGACAAATAAATAAAACAAATAGTGGAAGAAGTATGGCATTATATTCAATCGACTGGACGTGGTTAGCAAAGGAATGCTAGTGTGGATTAAACAGAGAAGATTCATAATCTAAACACATGAATCTGCTTCTGCGAGATGGGCAGAAAATGTGAGCTCCTGATTTATATGCCAGGAAGTGAAGCCTATGAGCGTTAATCCTGTTGTCCTCACTGACTATACAATTTGGAGTAATAGTCAAGGCTTCATTGAGCTAAATCGCGTTCGCCTGGACCCACCTGAGGAATTATTTACCCTCCTTGCTCTCCTTTCTCTTTGCTACAGCCTACACGTGGCCACCTCACCAGTGCCTCTAGCAGTGCCGATGGAAGAAGACAGCCAGGCAAGGATGTGGTGTCTCTGCCCTTCTCGTGAAATGCAGACAGGTTTAGTGGAAAAAATCCCTGAAAGTTTGGTTTTCAAGTAGAGAAGAACTTTCAACTCATCAAGTTGCTCCTCTCTCCTATTAGCTACCAATACTATGTCTATAGCATGAGAGTCTTTCCTCTCCCTTGAGAAGGCAGGGTGATGCAAGCAAGGAAATCCAGAGAACCCGTCTCAGCAGGAATGAGGGCAGTTGCAGGAAGTTTACAGGGAAACATGTAGATTAGGCACAATTAAGTCCTACTCTCAGCTGTGTCTCTGCCTTGAATACCATTAAGATCAGTTATGTTTCCACTGCTGTTTCTGACCTGTCATTTTTCATCACCTTCCAACAGAGAGAAAGCAATCTGTCAAACACATGCATCTCCTGTCAAAGAAGTCTTTCGTGAGAGAAGCAGGAGCTGGCATTTCTCTGCAGACAAGCATGCCTGGGCCATAGTAACCTGGGGCAAAGGCCTTGGGGGAGTGTGTTTAATAACTCAGCCAAAAAGGAAAGCACCTCCGGGGCCGTACAAGAAGGCAGATCTGCCTTCATTCATGCCCAGCCTCCAGCACTGCTCAGAACAGGTGTAGGTTCAGTGGACACCTATTTTAAACATTATTAAAATGCACCTGAACACAAGACTTTTCTCTCCATCATCCTTTTGGGATATTACATTATAAATCAAATCAAAAGTTCAATTAATGACATCCAATTAAAAAACAGATTAAGAGACTCATGGAGGAAGCACTGCACTAAGATTAATGAATATGTTCTTTCAACATGAAGATTATCTTAGAACTTGTTACCAAAATTTTGAATGCTAATTATGTTATTTTAAGTCCTGCCTTTTAAAAGTTATTTCTCCCACTTCTTTTCATCAGACATGATGACAAAGCCACATTAGTCTTACACAATATAAATAACTGTCTTTAAAATTAAATATATAGAGAGAGAACGATTTAGAATATGATGCTTGGAGCATGAGGAATTAAGCAAGGCACTTTCAACAGTAAATAACAATAAATAAGCAAATGAAGAGTTATTATCACCTAAATACAACTGATTCTCTAGAGATCAAATGCCTTAAACACAAACGTATCAACACATACTTAATTAGCGACATCTGAGCCACATCCACGTACCTGTGTAAGGTCTGCGGCCTGCTTTAAGATGCTTTTTCTTAATTGTTCTGCTCTCCTTGCGTGAAAAGAATTACTTTGGCTCTGGATGACAAATACAATGCCTTTCAAGTCTAGAACCAAAATAAATAAATAGGTAAGTGTTCAAGAGTTTCTTTAACAATGATTGAAAGAAATTTGAAAGTAAGTGAGGGAAAAAATAACCAGTTCCCAGGCAAGGCTTCTTACGTAAGCAGTAAGCTCTTACAGGGAAAAAAATCAATTTATATATGTAATTCTAGTGATAAAGACTTCACTCTTTTTAACCAATTTCCAAAACTCCCTTCCTAGAAGTCAGCACGTAAACGAGCTCATTGTGCGCGGCTGCGTCTGTGGCAGCAACGTGTGAGCCTGGCCCTGCATCTGTTCGGAAGCAAGACTGTGAATGTGCGAAGGCACGGAAGCGTCCTAGAATACAGGCTTCCCCAGCAGCTGACAAGCCAGTGTTTACACTGTGGTGTGCCGCAATCCCCACTCCATCCCACACGGCACTGCTATCTATCTGTGTGGAACTGTGTCTGCCCCCAAATTCACAGGCAGGGGGCCGGCACCATGGCGCAGGTTAATCCTCCGCCTGTGGCGCCGGCATCCATATAGGTGCCAGTTCTAGTCCTGGTTGCTCCTCTTCCAATCCAGCTCTCTGCTGTGGCCCAGGAAGGCAGTGGAGGATGGCGCAAGTGCTTGGGACCCTGCGCCACATGGGAGACCCAGAAGAAGCTCCTGGCTCCTGGCTCCTGGCTCCTGGCTTCTGATGGGCGCAGCTCTGGCCATTGTGGCCATTTGGGAGTGAACCAGCAGATAGGAAGACCTTTCTCTCGGTCTCTCCTTCTCATTTGTCTGTAAGTCTCTCAAATAAAATAAAATCTTTAAAAAAAAAAAAAATTCACAGGCTGTGTGTGTCAGAATATGACCTTGTTTGGATTTGAGTCTTTTCAAAGATAATCAGTGAGATCATCAGGGTGGGCCCTAATCCAATGTAACTGATATCCTTATTTAAAAAACAGAAGTGGGAAGGGGAATTTGGACATGAAGAGACACACAAAGGGAAGAGGATGTGAGGTGTGGGGAGAAGATGTGTCTACGCACCAAGGAGGGAGCCTGGAACAGACCCCACAGTGCAGCCCTCCAGAGTAAGCAACCCTGCCCACTATAGTCCTCTGTCATTCGCGCAGCCCTGACAGATGAACACACTACTTCAAGAATGTTCCGATGGCCTTTGAAGGTGACATTCAATAGCCACTGCCTGTGTCCCCTGAGTTCACAGGGTTTGCAAATAAGGAACTCAGTAATCCCTGCCCTAGCTCCCAAGACACCAAGCCAGGCCTAAGTGTCTCTAGGAAACCAGTGGCTACAACTGTCCAGCAGCAGGGTGCTATCAAGAAGTACTGCACGTGGGCCGGCGCTGCAGCTCACTTGGCTAATCCTCCACCTGCGGCGCCTGCACCCCGGATTCTAGTCCTGGTCAGGGCACCGGATTCTGTCCCGGTTGCTCCTCTTCCAGTCCGGCTCTCTGCTGTGGCCCAGGAGTGCAGTGGAGGATGGCCCAGTTCCTTGAGCCCTGCACCCACATGAGAGACCAGGGGGAAGCACCTGGCTCCTGGCTTCAGATCGGCGCAGCGCGCCGGCCGCAGTGCGCAGGCCGTAGTGGCCATTTGCGGGGTGAACCAATGGAAAGGAAGACCTTTCGCTCTCTCTCTCTCACTGTCCACTCTGCCTGTCAAAAAAAGAAAAAAGAAGAAGTACTGCATGGACGCCCACCTGCGGCACCTCACAAGCAGGAACAGGGGCCTCCGAAAGTTTACAGAATGTGTAACTACCTTTTAATTACATTTGCCATGAACTTTCTGAAGTACCCAAGCATTTGCCAGCCCAGGAGAGCCCACTCTCGAGGTGGCCAGCTTTCCACGCGGGCAAGGAGGGAGGAGGCCCCAGGATGTCACCCTCGCGTGGCTGGGGAAGCTCACTGGGGATCCTGCCCAGAAAGCACATCACACGCTGGAGGGGCACACTAGGCCAGCCCGGCTCTGAGTTCATAATAAAGACATGGAAACGGTCACTGTGTCAGTGCCCTGTCACCTGACAGGGGTGTTGGCAGCAGGTGCATGTCACACAAACTGCGGCCTCCAGCCAGGCTTACGGGAAATCGATACAAACCTTTACCCTACCATGAGCCTTTCTCTTTAACATCTCAGCTCGGGAACACTAATTTGGTTTTGATTTTATTCCATTATATTTTATTGATCCTATGTTCAGTTCTATAGTTTCATTCACTGTTCATTCATTCATACATTCATAGAGCAGCCAGCTCCACAGTGAGCCATCAGGCTCCTAAAAATAAGCCAAAATGCTCTTTAATCAAAACTCAATAAGAATTGCAAAGGACATGATGAACAACCTACTGAATATGACCTAAGTCCTTTTCTTTGGGAGTTGATATGAATGTGAACACCACTGACTTCTTGGCCCTGCACATGGAACGCATGGATAAGGTTTGAACCAGTGTCTTAAGTTCCAGCTACAGAGTTATGTTCATTATGGCATCTGAAACAGTAATATAAACTGACATATCAAGAGCTGAGTTACAAAGATTGCTTTTTGTTAAGAATGGGGTGGGGGCCAGCACTGTGACATAGCACATAAAGCCGTACCTGCAGTACCGGCATCCCACATGGGCGCCAGTTCAAGTTCTGGCTGCTCCACTTCTGATTCAGCTCTCTGCTATGGCCTGGGAAAGCAGTGGAAGATGGCCCAAGCCTTTGGGCTCCTACACCCACATGGGAGAACCAGAAGAAGCTCCTGGCTTCAGATCAGCATAGCTCCGGCCATTGTGGCCATCTGGGGAGTGGGCCAGTGGATAGAAGATATCTCTCTCTCTCTCCCTTTCTCTCTCTCTCTCTTTCAAATAAATAAATCTTTAAAAAAAAAAAAAAAAAAGAGGCCGGCGCCGCGGCTCACTAGGCTAATCCTCTGCCTTGCGGCGCCGGCACACCGGGTTCTAGTCCTGGTTGGGGTGCCGGATTCTGTCCCGGTTGCCCCTCTTCCAGGCCAGCTCTCTGCTGTGGCCAGGGAGTGCAGTGGAGGATGATGGCCCAAGTGCTTGGGCCCTGCACCCCATGGGAGACCAGGAGAAGCACCTGGCTCCTGCCATTGGATCGGATCAGCGCGCCAGCCGCGGCAGCCATTGGAGGGTGAACCAACGGCAAAGGAAGACCTTTCTCTCTGTCTCTCTCTCTCACTGTCCACTCTGCCTGTCAAAAAAAAAAAAAAAAAAAAAGAATGGGGTGAATAGGCTCGGATAATTTTTTGCACAATATAATACCTGAAGATGTACATTCCCAATGACCTAGAAATTCCACATCCATTAATCATCCCTGAGAAGCTCTCAAATGCATTCAGGAACTATAACAAAGGTGTCCACATGGCATTGTATGAAAGAAAAAAAAACTGGAAACTAACCAAATATCCTCCAATATGACTTACAGACTGGAATACAAAGCAGTAATAAAATTAATTAGCACTATTTTTATCAATCCAGATAGACATTATAAATGAGCTCTCACAGATATAATGTTTGAAAAAAGCTACAAAACAATAATCACAAAAATCAATAGCTTGCAAAAATATAAACACAAAAACATATAATGCAGAGATACTAGACAGAAGCACATATAAGAGAGCTCTTCAAAAAGTCTGTGGATTTAAAATATAACACAGGTGGAGCCAGCGTTGTGGCGTAGCAGGTAAAGCCGTCGCCTGTGGTGCTGGCATCCCATATGGGTGCCGGTTCGAGTCCCAGCTTTTCCACTTCTGATCCAGCTCTCTGCTATGGCCTGGGAAAGCAGTAGAAGAAGCCCAAGTCCATGGGCCCCTGCACCCAAGTGGAAGACCCAGAAGAAGCTCCTGGCTCCTGGCTTTGGATCAGCACAGCTCCAGCCATTGCAGCCATCTGGGGAGTGAACCAGCAGATGGAAGACCTCTCTCTCTCTATCTCACAGGGATAGGCACTTATCCTAGTGGTTAGTATGCCCAGTCCCACATCAGACTGCCTGGGTTCAATTCCTGGCTCTGGCTCTTGACACCAGCTTCACAGCAATGCAGACTCTGGGAGGCAGCAGCAATGACTCAAGTTACTGGTTCCTGCCACCTACTTAGGAGACCTGGATTGAGTTCCCAGCTCTGGCTGTTGTGTGCATTTAAGACTGAGCCAGTGGATGGGAGCCCATGCTCTTTATGGCTCAAAGGAAAAAACATAATGCAAATTCTCCATGAGCTTTTCAAAGGCCCCCTTATAATGTGAAAGTATAAAAAATTACATGAGAATGATAAACACCAAATCAATGGTGTCTTAATGACTAAAAGATTTCAGCTGTGTTAGTATTGTTTTATTCCTTAACCTAGGCGGCAGACACATGAATATTCATTATATTGCTTTTTAACTTTGTATGTTCAAATTATTTCCTAGTAAATTTTTTGAAAGAGCAGATCCATCTGTCCAAAGGTGAACCCTGTGCCTGCTCACCAATCACCACCTCCTGCCACTTCCTCTACCAGCTCGGCAGAACTCCCACTGTTCTCACACAAACAACTGCACTCCCGTGCAGGGACAAGCTCTGCAAGACGCAAGCCAGCAAATCCTTCCCCTTCTGGGAATCTGGGTCACGTCCTATAAGTTGTATCCCTCCTTCTCTTTCTAACACAATGCCTAAGAAACCAGACTGGCCCTGCCCTTCTCACATCCTTCAACTCTTCAGGCTACAAGCATTCACTGGGCAAATATCTTGAGTCCCTACTAAGCACCAGGCACCAGGTAACACAGGAAGGAGCACAGCCACAGCACAGCAGCACCTGAGCCTGGCTCAGAAGAGAGGCTGTGAAAAGCCAAGCAGTAAGGGGGAAGCCAAGGGTGGGGACTGCAGGGGAGGGAGGGGCCCACTGCAAGGAGGGCTGGGGCCGGAGGTGGGAGGTTGCGGGGGACGCTTTCCTGAGTGCCCTTTAGAAAGCAGCGGTTTTCTGCAGACTGTTGCACAGAGGGCAGCAGCTGGGTGGCAGAAGAGAAAGTGAGGTTATCAGGGAGCCAGCAGCCTGCCTTATCTTATCTCTGCAGCATCCCCAAGGGAGCCTGGCTGGCATTTCTGATAAGGGGGGTGGGCATTGTGGGTGATAACGCTACAGAGGGAGGCAGGGTCAGCCCCACCACATCATGAAGGATTTCTGCACCAGAAGAAGGGGCTTGTACTGTTGACTAACCACCTCCAAACCAGGGACAGGTACCCAGGCCATGAGGTCTCCCCAGAGGAGGAGACAAGGATACCACATCCTAGGAACAGGCCAAAGACAAGGGGGGGTTGGGAGGAGAGACCTTCCCCACAGAGGGAGCAGTGAAGGTTTGGGACAGACTGTTGAATTAAGGGTCCTGAAAATATTTAGCTAGGTCAGGCTATGCAGTAGAATGTGGGGGAGTTACAGGAGACAAGGAGAAGGGCACCCTGTTCCCATAGCCCTGACAGTAAGACAGATCATTACACAATGTCAGCCCTACCTGCTTCCAGGGGAAGAAGCAAGTTAGTGCAGTGAGCTGCTGAAAACAGCTTACAGGCCTAAATGCCCACTATCCCTCACAGCAGCACGAAGAAACATGCCCTGATGTCCTCCTGAGCCGCGTCCGAGCGGAATCCCCTTCCGGCTAAGTCTAGATCCCAGGGCTTATCTCAGCAGTCAGTGCTATTCCATCCCCTGCAGCCTAAGCCCCCACTCCCCAACAAGGCTAAAGACAAGGACGCCACCATTTCCTTCTCTTCTGCCTTGTACTTCTCTAAACTCCCTGCATTTGGCCTTCAGCAAACACTGTCACAACTCAAGACGGATCTTCGCTGCTACTCCTTCAGGAATGTGCAATAAATGGGTCGCACGCTAAGTGCCTGGCAAAAACGGTGCGCGTGACTGGCTAGAGGCGGAAGATAAAGAAATTAGTCAAGGGTACAGAAAGGACCGATGCGGTGTGCAAGCCAATGGTGAGCTGCAGGGAGCATGTAGGAAAAGCGGTGGAACCACGCCGAGACTTGGAAAAGGAAGCCTGGAAGAGAAACGCTTCCTCCTTGGAGGTGGCAGAAAACAAAGGTTCTCCGTTTCTTGCGCTGTTGAGAATCTATCATGGGCCACGTACTCCATGAGGTGCTAATCTTCCTGGTCAGAAATTACCTACAGGTACAGACTTCATCAGGCTGGTGTTATCCTGATGAGAAATCAATACCATGGTGTTCTTCTGATCAAAGGTGACTAACAAGTAGTTTTCTGACTGAAAGCCGTGGGATAAATATGCTTATATACACACACACACAAAGAGCCACTCCAACGAGGCCTTACGTGCACAGAATAACTGTGCACTGCTATTGACCAGGCAGTGAGCTGAAATCTAATTTATCAATTAGTCAAACGCATGGAGGCTGTGGCCCAGGCCTGCGTGTTGTGAGCCCAGGGTGGAGGTGCTCTGACTCCACGGTGCTGCTGTGACTACGGAGGCCCCCAGAGACTCACAAGAAGACTGCAACAAGAAGGCCCCTGGGTGTTTTTCAGATGAGCTGACGTGAGCTTCAATTTCACTGGGTTTGTCACTCTAACTGCAAGAATGAAAATTTCTTTGTCCAAGTTAACTTCTCCCAGGATCCTATCAACCCTGTGCGCCAGACTCGGGTCATTCACACATTTAACAACGGTTTATCGTGAAGAGTGCCATCAGTTCCCATAAAACATACAGGGGGCCAGCATTGTGTTGTAGTGGGTAGAACCTCCTGCAATGCCGGCATCCCATATGGGCACCAGTTCATGTCCTAGCTGTCCCACTTCCAATCCAGCTCCCTGCTAATGCGTCTGGGAAAGCAGCGGAAGATGGCCAAAGTCTTTGGGCCCCTGTCACCCATGTGGGAGACCTGGAAGAAGCTCCTGTTTCCTGGCTTTGGACCAGCCTAGCTCTGGCCATTGTGGCCACTTGGGGAGTGAACCAATGGATGGAAAATCTCTCTCTTTCTTTCTCTCTCTCTCTCTTTCCCTCTCTTTGCCTTTCAAATAAATAAATACCTCCTTTAAAAAATACAGCCACCAGGGTTGGCAGCACTCCTTAGAGAAAAGAGGAACCAAACCACATAGAGTGTTCTAATATAGTAAAGGCAATGAACCAGTATGACCCCTTAAACATAGCTGCTCTCACAGTCTGTAGATCCTAACCTAAGCTTCTGTGCACCTAGATCTCCTCGGCACTGGTCATTTTCCAGTGGGGTGGAGTAGGGTGGGGAGGAGCGGGGGCCCACTCCTGCCCTTTGTAAGGCTCCTCAGAATGCAGGCCCAACGAGAGGCCATTAACCCAGTAGTTAAGACTCCAGGTCAAGATTGCATTCCAGATTCCTGCCTTTGGCCTGGTCCAGCCCCACCTGTTACAAGCATTTGAGGAGTGAACTAGTAGATGGAAGATCAATCTCTCTCTCCCTCTGATTCCCTGCTTCTCAAATTAATTCATAATTAATTAATTTTTTTAAAGTCCAAGCCCAAGAAGGAAAGGCCTAGAAAGGAACATGTTCCCTTCCCTTCTTATACAAAGTTCCGCTTCCTGGCCTAACCTGATATCAAAACGGGGGCTAGGTTTACACTCTTCAGGGAGAGACCCACCCCTTCCCACATCCCTACAGATGCTTACAGGATCCTGGAGAGCAAAGATGGGTTTAAAAGCAGTACAAAGAAGGTACGGATGGGCTGGGACATAAGTAAGAGATGTTACAAAGCAGGCAGGGGGGCCAGTGCTGTGGTGTAGCAGGTAAAGCCACCGTCTGCAGTGCCGGCATCCCATATGGGCCCTAGTTAGAGTCCCGGCTGCTCCACTTCTGATCCAGCTCTCTGCTATGGCCTGGGGAAGCAGAAGATGGCACAAGTGCTTGGGCTGCTGCACCCACGTAGGAGACCTGGAAGAAGCTCCTGGCTTTGGATCAGCCCAGCTCTGACCATTGCAGCCACTTGTACAGTGCACCAGCAGATGAAAGACCTCTCTCTCTCTCCCCCTCTCTCTTTCTCTCTCTCTCTCTCTGTCTCTTTGTAACTGCCTTTCAAATAAATTTTAAAAATTAATAAAAAAAAAAAAAAGCAGGCAGGGGCAGTTTCTACCCCAGGGTCCTCAGCAATGTCTGACAGGTGTGTTGGCTGGGCTGATCCTGAAAGGCAAGCAAGCACTTGGAGGTCAACAAATGGGGAGCCCAGGCCTGGGCAGAGCACAGCAAGGCCAAGAGCAACCCCTTGCCCTTCTCTCCCACTAAGCGTGGGTCCTAGTATCAAAGACCAGGCCTCAGTGATCTCTGTGCCCCCACAGTGCCTGCCCGCCTGCCCGGCACGGCACTCTGCCTCCACTGGAATATCAGGGATTAGCAGCTGAGGAGTTAAATCCAACAGACTGGCTATGATGCTTGATATGCATCTTAGACCAACACACCACTCTGTGAGGTGTTCTTCCCACAGGTTCATGAGGGTAAATGCGGAGGTGGCCAATGACAGAATACAGGGCCAATAGTATTTACCCCATAAACAAAATCAGAAAGAATAATGCACTTCACTGAAATACCACTTACAACAAATACATCTGAGTACATACTCATAGGCTAAAAGAAGTCATTACTTACCTATGTCATGTTTCCCTGATATACCACTTTCCTCAAAATCCTGTAATGTTAAATGAAAGAGAAAAAAGATTAATCTCATCTCATCCCAAAGTGATTAATACTCCAAATAAACACACACGGCACGTATAAATCAACTCTAGGTGGGGAGGGAAGAGTTTTGAAGACGGGAGCTTGGAGATGCTTCCTTAAGCAAGTGGGACCAAAATCTAGTGGGGAGTAGCAGCAGTGATGGGGGGAGGGGGAGCTCCTGCCTTTCTGATGTGCTCCCAGGTGAGCTGCTTACTGGTCTGAAGCCCCTTTCTCCTGCGTGAAACAGACGTGACACTTAACTGTGTCACAGCGGTCCTGGGAAAGGGGGTCGTAAAAAACCTCATCGACCACGAAGCATCACACACACATCAGACGCACTCTGCATCCTGGCAGGCTTACTCTTCATGACAATGTGCTCTATTCACTCTTCTACTCATCACCTTTCTTGTCATCAGAATGTGGCCTGCACGCAGCTTGGGGGGGAGCTCGCAGGCTGCTACGGTTAAAACGTGTCCTCCAAAAGGAATGTGTGGGAACCTTAGCCCCCAGTGTGACACGGTTGACAGGTGGGACCCTGAAGAGGTGATGAGGTCACCAGCACAGGTCCTTGATGTCATTCTTGTGGGAGTGGCCTTGCACCGTGGACTTCCCAGACTCCTAAGCTTCCAGAAGTGAATCTCTGTTCTCTGTAAGACACCAAGCTCAGGTATTCTGTTCGAGCAGCACAAGATGCACTAAGGCGGTGCTCACCACGCTCAGGAGCACAGGAGGGACACCTCAGAGTTGGAGAGCTCCAGACATAAAAAGCTGGACCCGGGCATAGTGGGCCTGAGTCTAGCCCTGCATCAGTCAAGAGGGGAACTCTCCAGAGAGTTCTCTTGGCCAAGTGCAAAGCATCAGAGGCCAGTGCTGCCATCCTCATTGTACTCTCTGTAGACTGAGAAGGAATTTTCTCTAACTGCCACTTCCTCCCTTCCACAGCCATGTGTTATGACAACTGGATAGCGGCAAACATCTTTCCATTTTCTTCACAGACTGCTACAAGAAATGCAGCAGTGAGAGGCTGGCACTGTGGCACAGCAGGTTAAGTCACCACTTGTGACACTGGCATCCTATATCAGAATGCCAATCAAGCCCCAGCTGCTCCACTTCCGATCCAGCTCCCTGCCCCCAGCTCCCTGGGGAAGCTGCAGAAGACGGCTTAAGTATTTAGGCCTGTGTACCCATGTGGGAGACCTGGATGGGGATCCTGGCTTCTGTCTTCAGCTTGGCCCAGACCTGACGCTTGTAGCCCTTTGGGGAGTGAAGGAGTGGATGGAAGATCTCTCTGTCTTTCCCCCTCTGCCACTATGCCTTTCAAGTAAATCACTAAATCTTCTTTAAAATGTGGTGGTGAGCCTTTACCAAGCTTAAATACCAATGAAGCCACAGAGGGATGTGTCCTTGAAAAACATCAAAGGGATTGCAACAACAGACAGGCAGCGAGATAGCTAAACACAGGGAGTGGCTACCATGGGCAGCTGCTGTGGTCTGGATGGCGTTGGACTGTTTCCCCCGTAAGTTCATGTGTTGAAATCTGATTCCTGTTGTGAGATATTACAAGAGTGGAAATTACATGATTGCGGGGTCCCTGGGAGGTAATGAGAATTAGGTATGGTCACCAGGGTAGAGCCTGCGTGATTGAAACTGGTGGCTTTCTAACATCACAGGACACACACACACATTCCCTGTCTCTCACATGTGATGCCCTGCACTGCCTTGGGACTTCATCACTACCAGATGCAGCCCCTTGACCTTGAACCAGAACTGTGAGCCAAAATGAACTTTCTTCATAACTTACCCATCTGTGGTAGTGGGTTGTTAGTAACAGAAACGGACTCATGCAGTGGCATGTTGTGAAAGCGTCTTTGTCTCAAGAACAGAAACACCACTGAGTACAGCAGAGCCCAGACTTATAGGCAGGTTTGCTGGATCACAGATCAACAGATGCCTCACTTAAACCTGAGAAAACACATGGCTCTGGAAGAACCCAGTATGAAAGAGTGGAAAGCCCGACCCACTTCTTGGAAAGTGCTGAACCAAGGCGGTGCACACGGACTCACAGTGCATATCCTAACGGCCCTGGTGACCAAAAGCACCACCTGCCCTGGGGGAGGAGCTCCACCTGGGCTCCACCCGGCCACTCAGCCCCTACGGCTAACCCACGGCCTGTCCTTGGCCAAACTGCCTGCTCCTTGGGAGGCCACAACTTCAGCTGCCAGATGAGGCCCATGGAAAAATAGAATGGTTTGATCTAAAAATAGCACCGGAGATGATTCAATCCAACGCTGGTTGGTTTTTTTTTTTTTTTTTTTTTTTTATGAGACAATTGAGGAGGGTCAGGAAAGATACAGGATTCTCAGGTCCAGCAGGTCTTCCGGCCCCAGAACTGGGACTAAAACCCAAATCTCCGGACTCCTTTGCAATGCTCCTTCCCCACACCATGTGATAACACATGCCCACCCCTCCTCCAGAGGCTTTCTTCAGAAAAAGATGCGGCATTCTAGATGGGAACATATTTTGAGAGTAAGCAGAAAGTAATACCTGGGTTATTCTAAAAGCTCATGGAAAATGGAATTAAAAGATAAGTCTATTTTTGTGTAAAGATTTTGAAACCATTACATAAGGGACCTTAAAAAATGTCTGTGGAGGCCGGCGCCGCGGCTCACTAGGCTAATCCTCCTCCTTGCGGCGCCGGCACACCGGGTTCTAGTCCCGGTTGGGGCGCTGGATTCTGTCCCGGTTGCCCCTCTTCCAGGCCAGCTCTCTGCTATGGCCAGGGAGTGCAGTGGAGGATGGCCCAAGTGCTTGGGCCCTGCACCCCATGGGAGACCAGGAGAAGCACCTGGCTCCTGCCATCGGATCAGCGCAGTGTGCCGGCCACATCGCGCCGGCCGCAGCAGCCATTGGAGGGTGAATCAACGGCAAAGGAAGACCTTTCTCTCTGTCTCTCTCACTGTCCACTCTGCCTGTCAAAAAAAAAAAAAATGTCTATGGAGTCAGGCATGAAACACAACAGATAAACTGTCACTTGGGACACCCATATCCCATTATCAAAGTGCCTGGGTTCAAGTCCCCACTCTACTCCTGACTCAGATTCCCATGAGTGCACACCCTGGGAGGCAGCTCAAGTCCTTCAGCCCCTGCCACCCATGCACAGGTTGAATACCAGGCTCCTGGCTTCAGCCTATCCCAGCTCTGACGACTGTGAGCATTTGGGGGATGAACCAGTGGATGGAGAATGTCTCTCAATCTGTCTCTACCTTTCAATAAAATGAAAATAAATAATGTTTTTAAATATTCATGGGAACACTCATCATTAACAAAAAAAAAAACCTGCCTGGATTTTAAACTTCTTATGCACTAAAACAAACATATCTTAATTAATGTTTCTGCAAACATTTTGAAGTACCCTTGTATCTACAACAAAAGTCACCATCATCAACAAGTTAAAATATTAAAACTATAGGGCTGACATTGTGGTCAGTGGGTTAAACCAGTGCTTGTGATACCACCATCCCATATCAAAGTGCTAGTTAGGGTCCCAGATGCTCTGCTTTCAATCCAGCTCCTTACTAGTGTGCCTGGAAAGGCAGAGGATTCTGGCCCAAGCGCTTTGGTCCCTGCCATCCATGTAGGAGACTAGGATGGAGTTCCTAACTACTGGCTTTGGTCTGGCCCAGCCCTAGCTGCTGCAGCCATTTGGGGAGTGAACCAGCAGGTAGAACACCTCTCTCTTTCTCTGTGTCACTTTCTCTAACTTGTTCTCATTCTCGCTCTTTCAAATGAATAATATAATAATAATATTTCAAAGCAATAATAATCTTTTCAAATGAATAATTTGAAAAGTAAAGTTACAAAAAGAGAAAGAGAGACCCTCCAACTGCTGGTTCACTCTCCAAATGGGTGTATCATCTAGGCTAGGTCAGGCTGAGGCCAGGAACCTGGAACTCCATCAGGGTCACCCACATGGGTGGCAGGGCCCAAGCACTTGGGCCATCTGCTGCTTTCCCTGGCACACTAGTAGGGAGATGGACTGGAAGTGAAGCAGCCAAGATTCAAACTGGTACTCATCTGGACTGCCAGCACTGCAGACAGAGGCTTAACTCACTGGGCCACAATGCCAGCCCCTGATAAAATAAATATTTTTTTAAAAAATAACAAATATCCAGAACTTAGTGGTTCTGGTCTGAGTAATTTAAACAAGCTGGAACATGAACTAGACTTTCTACCAGCTACCTTTGTGAAATCAAGGAAATGCAACCAAAATCCTACATTTGTTAAGTGCTGCAGCTCAGGCGAACTGACATCCAAGCTAGGAAATGATCAGCTGTTTCCAATGGCTCAATTTGTAAACTGTAAAAATAAAACATCCAAGGAACAGTTGAATTAGGTGAACTGAAATGGAACCAAAATGCTCGTGAGTAATTTCCCCTTTGAGAAAGAAAATTAGAGTAAATGAACAAACTGACAGAACATTTAAAATCCTGTCTCCAGCATCCCTTGAGAAAGCCTTCGTTCTTCCTAAGAAGAAAGAAACACATGGTTTGCTTTATTATCTCTGCTGCCACAGGCTTCTTACACCGACCATCAATATTCATCAGAACGTGCTCACTGTCAAGGTTCTATAAGCCAAGTGAACGGCCACTCAGAGAAGAGATTTGTTATAATGCATCTGCCCCCACAGACAGCTCCTGCTCTAGCCAGGGAAAGACCTATCCAAGCCACTTTTTTTTTTCCCCAAATAAATCTTTTATTTAAGGAATACAGACTTTATGCATTTCATAAGTACAACTTTAGGAATGGAATACAGTGATCCTTCCCACCATACCTGCCCTCCCACACACACTCCCACCCCTCCTGCTCCCTCTCCCATTCCCAGTCCCATCCTCCACTAAGATCCATTTTCAATTAACTTTATACACAGAAGACCAACTCTATACTAAGTATAATTTGCACAAAAAAGAAAAAAAAAAAAAACTGTTTCTCAACAGTCGAGACAAGGGCCAAGCCACTCTTATACTTACAGGTTTTACTTTTTAAGCCACAGTGGATTTGAACATTTTGTTGTTGTTGTTGTTTTTAAAGATTTATTTATTTACTTGAGAGGTAGAGTTAGAGAGAGAGGGAGAGAGAAAGAGGTCTTCATCCACTGCTTCACTCCCCAAACAGCTGCAATGGCCAGGGCTGGGCCAATCCAAAGCCAGGATCCAGGATCCAGGAGCTAGGAGCCAGGAGCCAGGAGCCAGGAGCCAGGAGCCAGGAGCCAGGAGCCAGGAGCCAGGAGCTTCTTCCAGGTCTCCTACATGGGTGCAGGGGCCCAAGCACTTGGGCCATCTTCTACTGCTTTCCCAGGCCATTATCAGGGAACTGGATTGAAGCTGGATGCCCAACTCACTACATCACAATGCTGGCTCTTGAACACTTTCAATCTATATATGTAATGCTTAGTTTATAAGGCCTTCATAAAAAGAAGATATAACATGCTCAAAAGAATCTGATGGGAAATATGTTACGAGGAAAGAGAAGTAAAAAGGCATTTTCACCCAATCACAATGATTCGCCATCACCCTACAGACTGTGAATAAAATAAATCATTCAAGATGTGTGCATTGGGTTAAGCCACCACCTGTGATGCTGGCATCCCAAATGGCTGCCAGTTAGAGTCCCAGCTGCTCCACTTCCAATCCAGCTCCCTGCTAATACGCCTGGGAAAGCAGCAGCAGATGGTCCAAGTTTTTGGGCCCCTGTCACCCATGTCAGAGACCCGGATGGTCTGGTCCAGCCATGTTTGTTTTGGCCATTTGCAGAGTGAACCAGTGATGAAAGATATCTCTCTCTCTCTCTGACTCTCCCTCTCTCTGTAACTGCCTTTTAAATAAATAAAACAAGTCTTAAAAAAAGGTGAGCATCAGTGCACTCAGTTGTAAGGTGGTCCAGGTTCTACCTGCCTCTATGCTGACTGGCTCAGGGCTCAGTTTCTCATCTGTAAAACAGGAATAATACTTACAAGAGCCACTTCCCAGGGCTGTGTTTCGAGCTGAGTGAGCTCATCAAAGGCTAAGCATGGGCCAGTGTCACGGCTCACTAGGCTAATCCTCCACCTGCGGCGCCAGCACCCTGGGTTCTAGTCCCGGTTGGGGCGCCAGTTCTGTCCCGGTTGCTCCTCTTCCAGGCCAGCTCTCTGCTGTGGCCCGGGAAGGCAGTGGAGGATGGCCCAAGTGCTTGGGCCCTGCACCCACATGGGAGACCAGGAGGAAGCACCTGGCTCTTGGCTTCTGATCGGTGCAGCGTGCCAGCTGTAGCGGCCATTAAGGGGGTGAACCAACAGAAAGGAAGACCTTTCTCTCTGTCTCTCTCTCTCTCACTATCTAACTCTGCCTGTCAAAAAAAAAAAGAAAAAGGCTAAGCACGGTGTGAACACAAAGCAAACACTCATCATTATCGGCTCCTACTGCCTTACATGAAGTTACCCAGTGCCACGGAAGAAATCCGACTGATCGAAGCAGAAGACCTTTGACAGACTTGCTTAGGTGGAACAGAGGGCTCATGCAACCTCCTAGAAGGCTGCCTAAGACATTTTTTTGCTGTTTTGTCAATCAATTAAGCAGTTCATTAGGACCTGGCACTGTTCTAGACTAACTGCCTCTCTTTCCCCCTGGCCTCTTTCTTAAACCTCTAAACAGTCCTTTGAGGTTAACCCTGTCACCGCATCTTTCAGATGAGGAAACTGAGTCACAGTGAGACTCACTAGGCCCCATGGCTGGTCCTCAGTGGAGAAGAGTTGAACCGTGGCATGGTGGCGCCCATGTTCAATGCTAACCTTACATAAGGACGCAGTATCACAGGCCGTGGCAGGACACAAGGCAGGTTGCAGACAGGTGCATGGCAATGGCTAGAGCAGCCCCACAGTGTGGAGTGGGACACTGGATCCCAGAAGGGAGGCCAGGTTCAGGGGGCAGGCCCCAGGCGACACATCAGGGCACGAAGCAGCAGCCGCATTCAGGATCTCGATGGGCAGTCAAACCCACAGCCAACCGATGAGACTGCTCATTGTTTGGGCAGGAACCCAGCACGGAGTAGGGTTTGTCTGAATTTGATGACAACCCCACCAATAATTTACTGCCAATAATCCTGAAGTAGCACTTTAAGTTTGTCATAAATAGTCCTCATTACTGCCCAACACGCATATGATAATACACAATCCTGTGTAATTTAGTGCAGCCTGAAAAAAATCAAAAACTCAGGAAATTTGAATTCTGTCTTTTTAACGATCACGTGATCTTGGTCAAATCAGTTAATTTCTCAGAGGCTAAGTATCCTCCATTGGAATTGGGAACACAGGCTTTGCCTGCCAATAACAGGACCCTCGAGAAGACTGAATGAAATAAAAACGCTTTATGAACCATAAACGGTCTTACAATCATAAGAAATTATTATTATCACTTCCCCTGTGGCAGAATCCCATAGTATAATTAGAACAGACATATTTACTGTCGGTAAAAGAAATATTCTCTTTAAAAATACTCATATCAATCACACCATGAGTCAACAGCCTTAATTAAAGAAAAACAATTCATATCTTAAAATACTGTTTCTCTTTCTCACATGCCAAATGTATCCAGTGCAGAACTCAGAGAGTAAAAATTTAGATGAGGTTCTTAAATGCACCTGATCAAAAACGAGGGGCTCTGAGATGTGGGTCAGTTCTGCCCCTGCTCTGCCGGTTCCCCAGGGCTGGAGTCCTGTCTCACCTACAAGGAATCAGACAGCATAGCCACCTGTGGGTCCCTGCCTGGTCCCAGCAGCTCTCTCACAGTGCATCACCTACAAAGTAGTGATCATCAGGTTCTTGTAGCTTCTAGGACAGCAAAGTTTTACAAAGAATGGAAAACTTACACCCAGAATTAAGAAATGGTGAGAACGCAGAAAACAACAGTATCCAAGCAAGACTTATAAAAGTTCTATTTCCATTGTCAAAACAACTTTTTTTTTCTTATAATTACTTTAGAACCTGGCAGATCTTGTCTAACTATTAAAAGATTTTTTTAAAAAGCAAGTCTCCCTATATGCTGCTGGTGGGGCTTCAAAAATCTATGTTGCCCAACACGATGTGACTCCACACAACAGCTAGAAAAGAAACGCGTTAACTACTGAAGGGCATAATCATTACAGTTTCTACTAAAGAAAACACAAAGGAACCCCAGAGAGGAGGAGTAAATTAGGTCATCTGAATTAGTACCTGAGACTGCTGGACCTCTTTCTTCTTCGTATCTTCAGAAACCAAACCAAAAGCTGGAAGGGAAAAAAAAAAGGGAACATTTTTACATGAAAACTAGCAACCTAGCTTCCTTCTCACATTCAAGTTTGCTTATAATGCATGGGGAAACAGTGTGACTTTAACAAGACACAACACTCATTTTTAAGCAGCTGCACTGCTGCAAGCTGGTATTTCTGGCTTTCTTTATCCCCAGCCTGAAATTATTCCACGATGTGAGGCCCGCATGCTTGGATTACCAAGCGAATGGAATTGAAACCGCGGTGCGTCATGTGTGTTGACAGAGCCAAACTGCAGAGTAGATGTAGACGAAACACTACTTCTTAGAAACCTTGATTCTGGTCCTTTCTCAGGCACAGGGGAAGTCCTGAGACTCCAGAGGGAGAAGCAGAAATCCCCCCTTCACAGTCACGGCCACAGCCAGGGCCTGCAGGCAACAGAGCTCTTTCTGAGCCTTCTTTTCAGCCCTGCAGGGTTGCAGGGGAGGTGCAGGTGCTCCCGAAGAGTTGGCAGAGTCGGCAGAGCTCCTACCCAGGCAACTGGGGCAGCACAGCGAGGGGCAAAAGAGTCGGGGAGGAGGCGAGGTGCAGCCCCCATTCAGAAGGACTTCATGCCTACAGTCGGAGCCCAGAAATAGACAAAGTCATCCCTAGAGACTCATTCAGACTCTGCATTAACTCTAATCGTAATTAGAACATGGCAGTCATACTTTGAAAGTATACGGAAAAATGAGAAGCTAAACAGTGAGAAAGCGTAAGAGAACAAAACCCAGCACCATCCTGGACCATGCGTTTGCCAGGAAGGGCTAAGGGGAAAGCAGTGCAGGGTGTCTGCTCTCTCCAACTGGCATCCCAGGAGGAAGGGCCAATGCCATAGAGCAAGAAGGTACTGAAAGGGCTAAAGGCGGGCATCACGGGGCAGCATCAAACTGCACGCAGGGAGTGTCAGGGCTGTGGCTGCCTAGGTGACAGAGGAAACCCTGCTCAGAAGCAGGGGCGAACTGCAGCCACTTAGGGCCCTTCTACTCCCTTCCCGTGCCATCCACCCCCAGCCAGCCAACCCTCAAATTCTCCATTAACACTTGCTCAAAGGAAACCATCTAAAACATACTCACACAAAGAAGCAAATGACTAACACGGTTTAATCGTTTCCATTTCCGGAATGACATTTCAAAAGGCAGGGTGAAATTGAAATGTAAGCCAAACGAACCACTGCGCGTGGAATTTAGATAACTGCAGCTATCCTGAGATAGCTGGACCACCTGGACCACCTCATCTGAAAGAGGAAACCCTCACCCTCAGGCCCCTCTTGCCCCTCACCTTCCTGAGCATTTATCACCAGCTGACAGAATCTATGCTTGCTTGTTTATGTCTTACCTTATATTGCACTTATTTTGAGTTCCTTAAGGCAAGCATATAGCTTTACGTACTGTTTGCCCCACACCAAAACCACAGCCAGCACAGCCGAGGGATCTTCAAAAGGTTTATGCGAAATCCATAGAATGAAGACATTTTTGCACAGGCTTCAAAATTTCTTTGCACCAAATTAACTTATCTTTTAACTCTACTATCTAGTGACGGTTCTGAAGTCCTCTCATGGAAGGAGCTCAACAAATACTTAGTTAATGAATGGCAGCGAGACTTCACTATGGCCCATGGTCACATCACTTATGGGCTACCTACTTTTTACACCAGGCAGCACCAACCCAGCAGAATGGAGTTCAGTGCCCTCCACCCCAGGCTAGGATCCATGTTCTCACTTCACACACACACACACACACACACACAGGGAAAAATAGCCCAATTATTCACCAAATTCTAAGAAAGGGGACATTTAACCCCAGATGCCATTTAAATACTGCGTCTGGATCCTCATTTGGTTTTGTCTTATATCACTTACCTCCTAACTAATATGCACATTTAAAACCCTCGAGATAAATAGAATTATTTAATAGACATCAAACAGGGAGGGGGCAACATTTTACCATCACTTTGCACTACAGAATTCCAGAAAATAGAACACAGTGAGAATCTGTGGTATGTAAAAATGGTGGTGTGTGATTTGTGGCATGTGAAAATGGTGGCCAAGCTCAGACACAACTTTGACTCAGAAATCCATCTTCCCCTGGGACCAAGATTGTGGCCCAGCTAGTTAGGCCAATGGCTGCAACACTGGCATCCCAAGTGAGTACCAGGTTGAATCTTGGCTGCTCCACTTCTGATCCAGCTCCCTGTTAATGCGCCTTGGAAAGCAACAGAAGATGGCCCAGGTGCTTGGACGCTGCCAACCATGGGGGAGATCTGGATGAAGCTCCTGGCTCCTGAATCCTGGCTTTGTCTTTGTCCAGCCCTGGCCATTGCTGCCATTTAGGGAATGAAACAGCAGATGGATGATCTGTGTGTGTGTGCACGTGTGTGTGCATGTGTCTATCCCTGTCTCTCTGAGACTCTGCCTTTCAAATAAATAAATCTTAAAAAAGCAAAAAAGGAGAGACTAAGAAATCCATCTTCTTACTCCAATCAATCCCTATTCCAAATATGCACAAAGCTCTCCAGATTAGAACCTCCTCTTGTGTGAAGTAAAATGATTTTCTCAATTTAACTGCTTCATTGGCAACATCTAATAACCAGGGCTGCCTTTCACCTTTCTCTTTCGTGTGGCCAGAAGTCTATATGACAAAGAAGTACATGTCAACCCAAAAGCACCCTGGCCCTTAGAATGTAGAGTACAGAGCAGGAAAGGTGTCTGAAAATTACTAACACATCACCTCTCATAAGCAGGCCGCTGATTATTTGACTATGTAACTGTTTAAAGTAGGAATTACAGAGTGAAGACATCACCAGCAAATCAAGTGAATTCCCCAAATCCTGCTTGTCACAATCAAGACATCATTCTTTATTCAGACACAATTTAAACTAGATTCTAGTTCTGTCCAAAAATACACAGACCTAGAGTTAAAATATCCTTTTAAAAAAAAAGCCTCTCATTTTCTCCCCATCACTCTGCTGTGAAATTAAAAACTCCTTTTTCCCATGATAATTTCAATTATGTAATATCTAAAGCAATGACATAGAAATGCACCAGCTACTTGCAGTCACAAGAGCAAATACCTGGCAAGATAATTCCCATTAGATGAATATTTTTTAAAGTGTCAGTTGGTTTCATCTTAACACTTCCATAATTTAAATCAAACAAAAGAAATCATCAAGGAACCAAATGTGCTTTCAAGGCACAGAATATGCTACACGACTAATAAATCCAATCTTAAAATAATAAATCATTTACAGAATTACCACCAACAAAATCCTAGCTTCATGGAAATGAAGGTGAAATGATGCAAATAGATGAGGAAAGCAAGAAAACTTAGCAGGTGAGATGATAAACTGAGTTACGTTCAACACCTACAAGAGTGCACACTGCGGGGCAGGTGTGTGGGGCAGCAACTCAGAATATACCTGCAGAGCAGGCTTTATGGTGCAGTGGGTAAAGCCACTGCTTGGGATGCAGACATCACACACTGCAGTGCCTGGGTGCAAGTCCCAGCTTCACAGCCAATTCTAGCTTCCTACTTATGCACACCCTGGGAGGCAGTAATTGAAGACTCAAGTACTTGCGTCCCTGCCACCCATGTGGGAGACCTGGATGGAGTTCCTAGCTCCTGGCTTCTGCCCAGTCCAGCCCTGGCTGCTGCAGGCATTTGGGGAACGAACCAATGAATGGAAGCTCTCTTTTTTTCTCTTTCTTTCTCTCTCTCACTCCCATGCTCGCTCTCTCTGCCTTTCAAATATATTTTGTCTTTTTTAAAAAAAATTTATTTCATTTACTTGAAAAGCAGAGTTAAAGAGAGACAAGAAAAGGGAGAGAGAGATCTTCCACCTGCTAGTTCACTCCCCAAATGGTCACAGTGGCCCAGGCTGGGCCAGGCAGAAGCCAGGAAATAGGAGCTTCCTCCGGGTCTCCCACTCGGGTGCAGGAGCCTAAGCCTAAGCATTCGGGCCATCCTCTGCTCTTTCCCAGGCACATTAGCAGGGAGCTGGATGGGAAGTGGCAGCCAATCCCACTACGCCACATTGCAGACCCCTCAAATAAATTTTAAAAACAAATTAAAAGAAAAAAAGAGTTCACCTTGCAGTCCTGAGTTACCAAGCAAGTTAGGTATGCAAGGAGGGAGGAGAGCACCACATTGGCCCCCAAGCACAGGGGCACCCAACAGCGACCACCTGGAGCTCTAAAGCCTGCTACTCCATTTCAAACTAATTTCTGGATTCAGGAGGGAAAAATATTCTTGAAAACTAGGACTTAGTTCCTTAATGTACAGTTGGAGAAATACTCCAAGGTAAATCAACTTTTATATGCCGAACTTCTATTTAAAAGTAATTTTCCCTTTTCTATTTGGACATGAATGCTGGTGAATTGAGACCAGGAACTTTATTTAAAGTGCAAATCATGGTTGGCAATAAAAATCAGACTTTTTTCATGATACCTTTAAATAATTCAACCCAACGAACATGTTAGCACACCTATACAGGGAGATAAATCAGGAGTTTACAACTAACCTGGGACTATGATTTATAAGGTAGCCTAAGCCCTGGAGTGCAAGAAAACTGGCGAGGAATTAATTGCAATGCATTTAAGCCACACTAATCAACAATCTTTTCTGGTTCTTAGGAGTGGGCAAGGGGCCCCCATTCCCACATAGAAAAGAGTCGTGCCTCCTCATTCCTCACTTGATTTTCTTCCTGTTCTCTTGATCTGTCTTCCCAAACTCTCCCCAGAAGATCCATCTTAGAAGGCAAATGAAATCCAAAAAACAAAAGCAAAACAGCCATGAGGACACTGCATCATCCCACCTCAGAGGGGCGCTGTGGGGAGTCAACGAGGTGATGCATAAGGCGTTTTGCGCAGAGCTGAGCAGACAGAATAGCTCAGGTAACAGCTGTGACCATGACTGCCAGTTTGGGAGGGGTCTGCACAGTCCTGTGTCCTGCACAAAAGCCAGGACAGAGGAAATAAAACC